TGAGGATTCCGAAAATATTCTTGTCAATATTCAACATTAAATTTCTTTATGACCGGGTAAGTTAAAAATATAATCCTATATACCAAAAAATTGTTCATTTATTCTAGTTTCTGAATCTGAAGTCACAACTGAAATCCAAATCCGCGTTTAAGAGATATATGCAAATAACCGACACCAGTTTCGCTTGTCCATTGGTGTATATCAACATATCGTTTATTTTTTAATGACAAATAAAATATAAGGAAAAATTAATTCAATGGTTAATGAACTTGAAAATATTTTTGAATACAAATATTTTGCGACTTTTACCAAAAATAATTGCATACCTTTCCAAAATCTGGTCAAACTTTTCATTAGTTAATGGAAATATTTAGTAATTCTTTCGCAATAGTAAAGTCATTTAAATATATTTGAATAATAAAGACTTATTCAAATGACATTTTGCCTCATTTCCCATTTGGATAATAGTTATTATTTTCATTAACTAAACAATTTATGTAGTTTTAAAATATTTTGGAAGTAATAAAAGAAAGCAAACTATGATTTATTTGAAAATGATATTTAAATGAGTTTTAACTATTTGGCAATTGAGATTAATTTCTATTTCATAAATATTATATCTTGAAATATTATATTATGTCGTAAACAAATACTTATATTATGGTTGGTTATTAAATGTTGTTAACTTATTATATTTTATAAATGTTTGTCAGGTTAAAAGTTTAACGACTGTTAGTAATTTACTGTTAGTTTGTGAACATATTTTACATTACATAATTTTTTTATGTTTATTGGGGCTTAAGGCTGATTAAAGGTTAACTAATTAGACATATGGATAAAATGTGTTTAATTGTACAATTACTATTAAATTTAGAGTTAAGTAATTATAGTTAATAAACTAAATATTATATTAAATTGAAAAAATGCAATATGTTTTTTAAAACAAGATAAGTTATGCACAAAATGATAAAGTAGTCGATTTTAATTTGCTTTTAAAATATGTGATTCTGGGTTTATTTGTACTTATATAACGATTTGAACATAATTAGTATGAATACATTAAATACATGTTTCGCATTTTAACCAAACAATGGCTTAACATTAACATTGCACTCAAATATATTATAAAAATAATATTTTTTATTTCTTGGAATCAATGACTGCGCGTATACTATACAATAGTCTTATTAACAAACAGGTGTCATATCAAAGACCTCTTCCAAAAGTGGCGGAATCAATGTCTTTGGCGTGTCTTCCATCGTATTCTTCCTCTGAGCCTCTCTTAAGACATTTAAATCCATTATTATATTCATTAGTCTCAAGAAACGCGACTTTGCCTCACATTCCGATCGATACTTGAGTTGTAAATATCTAAGCAATAAATGCATATAAATGTGTTGTTGGAGTCTATATTGTGTGACAAATAAACATAAAGTCAATCAATTAATTTTAGTCTAAAAATAAATAATAAAAATATACAATATATATAATAGATGTCAAAAATTTGCGAAATATCAATCGATAAAGAAATAAGAATCAAATCTAAAATAAACTTATTAATTACTTTATGACATCTTTATCAACAAGGTTAGGATGATCCGGATTGAACAGAATTATTGACGACATCTATGACATTAAATAATTTGGTAATAATTATAAATTAAGAATTTTTATTCTAGCAACTATATACTAGTACCAAATTAAGTATAATGCGATCGGTGTCCCAAATGCGTGAAAATGTTTGAATAAATTTTCTATATGGGTGATATATATAGTCAATATTTTTCAAAAAATCCATGGTCAATATCATCGTGTGATAACGGTCCTATAGCAAAATGAAAATCTAATAAACTTATTAATATAATAAATGCAAACTAATGGCACAAACCAAAGGAAGTTTGAGCGTATTATCCGTGTAATCAAAATACACGATAGTCCTCAAGAATATGACTTCAAAGCACCCGTACTTCAGTAGTGAGATCTGGTCCTCACAGCAAATATCCCTGAATGCGGACAACCCTTTCACTGTTTTTGTCAGGTCTGTGATAGATCTGACCTGTTTGCTAGTAAAATACTGATAAAACTCATACATATTATCCAGATTCTTGTTAACATAGCTTATGTGAGGAGTGCACATAAACTGAGACCATTTCATCAATTCATTCATTAAATAAATTTCCTTTTCATTGAAACCAGTGTTCAATTCCCGTTGAGGTCTGGCTATAGGTATCACCGAAACGGCAAACTCGACCGCCTTTTCGATCGTCTCGTCTGACACTTCATAATCCGTTTGTGAAGTAATTTCATTGCAATTATTATAACAACTAATTTGTTCATCACTTAACAAATTGTTGGTGTTTTCAAAACTATTTTTCTCATTGAAACCATTGATAAGAGTGCTCTCTATGTCCATAATCTGTCGGTTGAGAGCATCGGCACTGAAATTGTTGTCATCGAGTATTTCACAGAATATATCACTATTTGTGGTATTAATGGGGTTTGAGATGTGATTTTCATGCGATGTTTCCGGTGACCTGTCTATCAATGATTTGGGACTTTCAGCGCTAGTATTACTATTAAAACTATTGCTCTTTTTCTTTTTGGTTTCTAATATCCTAAGTCTTTTCATATCCCGTTCCTCTTCATTTAATAGCCAGTCCTTAATAATATAAAACTTGGTTTAATAATTATAATTATGACCTTGTGCATTTTAATTTATACCCGTCTCATTCCAATGGCCAGGCATTTGTCTAATCGACACTTTGAGCAAAACTTTCGCGTGATTTCATTGATTTTGCAGTTATTGTCGAAATGGCATTTGAGCTATGATTTAGTGAATGAGTGAATGTGTCAATTATTTAAATGATGATTACATTGATAACAAATAAAATAAATGAGTTTTACAGTATTTTTGAGGGCATTTCGTCGAAAAAAGGCTTTGCAGGGCTCACACGATAAGGCGCCGAAGTTGTTGCCTAAATATTCATATAATTATTAATAGTTATGAACAGTAAATATCTATTTAAATCAGGATAGCTTTTATCAAACATGAGGTTTTTACTACATCTCGTGTTATATGAGGATATACGGTCATTTAGACTACCTAGCACTCTAAATGTAAGTAATGAATATCTTACCCACTGCTGTATATCCGCAAACACCACAAACTTTTGAAAGTCCCCGGTCACTCATGTTATGATTGACCACAAACTATGTATATTTATTATATACTGTATCGTAGTGACATTATAATCATTAGTAATGATTCATTACTATTAGAAATTTGCAAAAATGGTGTTAAATATTTGGTTGCAAGAAATATTTGTATGGAGACACGAATTTATGCTTTAAATAAAATGAGCAACCGTATTAATAAAGCAAAACAAACTTTCTGTTGACATTTAAATAGAGAATTTATTAATGACTATACCAATAACAGTTTCAGATGATTTATATTTAATATAGCAGTGATTTCAAGTTAGTAATATTGTCAATAAAATATAATAATATATTCTTTATAATGCACTAAATCACACAAAAATATCCAAAAAAATAGTTGTAAGAAATACAAAGAATTAAAAATTGTTGAATGAGAACCAAGTATATTTTTTAAACATACAATTTGTACATTTGTACATTGTTTTAAAAAATGCTATTAAACATAAAATTGTCGATGCTACATTTTCACTCAGAGATTTTCACTCAGAGTTTGCGTATAAGTTTTATATATGATAATGATTCATTATTAATGAATAAAAAATTATACGATAGCGTAATATTTCGTAATTTACTGTGTAATGATAAATTAAGTAATGTTAAGCTTAATTTATCAATGCAAATGAATGTTAGGTAAAATTAATTTTAAGTCAGAATTTTATTTTTTGTGATAAATGTTTTACAAATTCAAAAATTGTTAATTATAATAAACTTATTATTAAAATATTTTTTATCATATCTGAAAATTGTATATTAAATAAATTAACCAAATCTATAATTAGTTAATATTTGATATATTAGAGTTATTTGAAGTATGTTAAAACTGATTTTTGCAATGATTCTAACATAGAATCTATTGATAATGTAATTAAAATATATTAGAAATTATAATTTATAAATTATTATAAAAATGAAAATTACATAATGATATGCAACTTGAATACTGAGTACGTTACTAAATATTTTTGATTAAATTAGTTTGACTGACATTCAGGTGTTATATCAAAGACCTCCTACAGAAGTGGCGGAATCAAAGTCTTCGGCGTGTCTTCCATTGTATTCTTCCTCTGAGCCTCTCTTAAGACATTTAAATCCATTATTATATTCATTAGTCTCAAGAATCGCGACATTGCCTCACATTCCGATCGATACTTCAATTGTAAATATCTAAGCAATAAATGCATATAAATGTGTTGTTGGAGTCTATATTGTGTGACAAATAAACATAAAGTCAATCAATTAATACTTAAATAAATTGCGAAGATAAAAAATAGCAAATTACTTGATAAATTCTCTATGAACAAGGTGTGGTTGATTTGGATTGAACATAATAATCGATGACATCTATTAAAGTACAAAATTTATAAATTGTAAATTTTATTCGGGTAAACTCATGTACCAGGTAAATTATATTGCAATCGGTGTCCCAAATGGGTGCCAACTTTTGTACAAAGTTGATATAAGGGCGATAAAAATAGTAAACATTTTTCAAAAAATCCATTTTTAATACAATCCAGTGATCCATGCCCTATTAAACAACAAACACCGGTATCATATTAATTTAAAAACTACTGATATTATGAAATTCGTTGAGATAGCTAACCATCGGCAGTTTAAGCGAGTTATCCGTGTAATCAAAAAACATGATAGACCTCAAAAACATGACTCCAAAGCACCCGGACTTCAGTAGCGAGATCTGGTCGGTCTCGCAGACGTCCCTGAAAGCGGACAACCTTTTGGCGGCTTTAGTCAGAATTCGGATACCGGTGTCGAATTTGGTGGTAAAACACTGATAAAACTCCAACATATTATCCAGGTTCTTGTTTGTAGCGCCCATAGGAGGGCAAAAAAACTGAGCATGTTGAGAGCATGTAATCAATTCATTCAGTAAATACATTTCCCTTTCATTGAGACCAGTGTTGCATTCACTTAGAGGTCGGGCGATAGGTATCATCGAAACGGTAAACTCTACGGCCTTTTTAATGGTCACATTTGATATTTCATAAACCGGTTGTGAATTACATTCTTTGCGTTTATTATAAACACTAATTTGTTGGTCATTAAGCAATTTGTTTGTGTTTTCATAACTGTTGTCCACAATATTATCTATGAAACCGTTGGTCTCTATTTCCATAATCTGTTGGCTGAGGGCATCGGCACTGAAATTGTTGTCATCGAGTATTTCGTGTAAAGTATCACTATTTGTCGTATTATTAGTGTTTGTGATGTGATTTTGATGTGTTGTTTTCAGTGATAAGTTTTCAAGTGATTTTGTATTTTCATTGCTAGTATTACTAACATTCCTTAGCCTTTTATTTTCTAATACCCTGAGCCTTTTAAGCAGCAGTTCCTCCTCATTCAATATACACTCCTATGTATATAAAAGATGTTTTAATCATTTTAATTACTATTTCTTTTAATTCATTGAATACCCGTCTCATTCCGATGGCCAGACACTTATCTAATCGACACTTTGTGCAAAACCTTCGTGTGATTACATCGACTTTGCAGTTGTTGTCAAAAAGGCATTCGTGCTATGGTTTAGTGAATTAATCGATTAATAAATGCCCATTAGTTTGATCAAAAAATAACAATCATTATCACAAGAGTTTGCTTAGATAAGAGTTTTTCTACTGAATTATTCTACTGATTAATTCACAATCATATTGTTTAAATTGACGGTTCATGAATCTTAGCATTAGGTGTTGAAAATAAAATATTCCCGGTGCCTATTATACACTTTTACGGAAAATTATGAAGATTACATTCCCTTAAAAAGTTACCATTAAACCCAATCTACTTCTACATAAAAATTATATAAAGTTGTAATCCAGGTGTATTTAAATATAACTCATTTCCAGAGGGTTTATTGTTTATTTTAGTAAAATGAAACGCTAAAAACTTTATTTTGTAAATTTTAACATCTGTAAGGTTATTAAGTGAAATTATTGAATAAATTTTAAAAATGCATCCATTAATGTCATACAATAGAAAAAATGTAACGTATGGCAGTAATATACCAGTGTATTGTAATCAATCTTTAATATGGTTTTTAAATATGACATTTATTTAATATTTGAGTACTTGCAAACTTAATATAATTAATTTCATTACAATGCCTAATTATGAATAAAATATAATACAGATTTTGTATTTTACAATACATTGTGTTTTAAAAAACAATATAACATTAAAATTGAGGTAAAAGTTATTTTAATATAAAACTCAATATTCAGTCAAAACTATAAACTCGTGAGCGAATAGTCCGACTGATAATCAGGTGTCATATCAAAGACCTCCTCCAGAAGTGGCGGAATCAATGTCTTCGGCGTGTCTTCAATCATATGTTTTCTCTGAGCATCTCTTAAGACANCGATACTTCAATTGTAAATATCTAAGCAATAAATGCATATAAATGTGTTGTTGGAGTCTATATTGTGTGACAAATAAATATAAAGTTAAATAATTAATGAAAAAAATAAATGTCAAAAGTTTAAGATGTAGAAATCGATAAAGAAATAAAAATCAAGTCTCAATAAAACTTATCAATTACTTGATAACATCTCTATGAGCAAGGTTTGGACGATTCGGATTGAATATAGCTATTGAAGTCATCTAAGAAAGTAATTTCATATATTTAATAAAAGTTCCCAGGTACAATTAATTAGTAGAATCTCATACTAAATGAATTATATTGCGATCGGTGTCCCAAATAGGTAATAGTTTATTTAAAAATTTCTTATATGGGTGATAAAAATATTCAATGTTTCTCAAAAAATCCAATTTTAATACAATTTGGTTATCCGGGTCCTATTAGAAAAAAAATAAATACTGTAAATATTATAACAAATTATAATAAATGCAAACTAATGACACAAACCACTGGAATTTTGAGCACATTATCCGTGTAATCAAAACACCTGATAGACCTCAAGAATATGACTTCAAGGCACCCGTACTTCAGTAGTGAGATCTGGTCCTCACAGTAGATATCCCTGAATGCGGACAACCCTTTCACAAATTTTGTTATATTTCTGATACATCTGTCAAATTTGGTGGAAAAAGTCTGATGAAAGTCATACATATTGTCCAGGCCTTTGATGTTACTGCTTAACGGACTGCTCATACACCGGGCAGTTGTTATCAATTCATTGAATAAATAAGTTTCCCTTTCATTGAAACCAGTGTTGCATTCACTTAGAGGTCGCGCGATAGGTATCACTGAAACAGCAAACCCGACGGCCTTTTCGATCGTGTTGTTTGACACATTATATCCCGTTTGTGAAGTTATTTCATTACAATTATTATATACACTAATTTGTTGATCATTTATTATGCAATCAAATTTTTTGTCCACAATATTATCAATGAAATCGTTTGTAACAGTGCTCTCTATATTCATAATTTGCTCGTTAAGGGCACTAATATTGTTGTCATCAAGTATTTCGCATAAAATATCATTATTTGTGTTATTATTGGTGTTTGAAATGTGGTTTCCGTGCGATGTTTCCGGTGATGAGTCTATCAATGATTTTGTACTTTCATCGCTAGTATTATTGTATTGATTACTATCCCTCCGTTTTTTGTTCGCTAATATGTTAAGCTTTTTTAGCTCCCGTTCCTTTTCATTCAATATCCAGTCCTTAAAAAACAAAACTTGTTATAATCATTTAAATTTCTATTTATATCAATTCATTGAATACCCGTCTCATGCCGATAGCGAGGCATTTATCTAATCGACACCTTGAGCAAAACTTTCTAGTGACTGAATCTATTTGGCATTTATTGCCGTAATGGCATATAAGCTATTATTTTAGACAATTAAACAATTACTATAAATTTAATAACAAATAATATAACTATGTTTACAGTATTTTTCAACGCATTCCTACGGAAAAAGGCTTTGCAAGGCTCACACGATACCACACCAAAGTTTTTGCCTAATTTTTAATATAATAAATATATGAATTAGGGATTCAATTAATCAGTGTATCATTATTTTTATCATACCAATTGCTATATTCCCACAAACACCACATACTTTTAGATATCCCTTGCCACTCATACTTTGTAGTGACATTTATTAATATTTGAATTTTATTTATTATAATAATTATTATTAATCACTTTTAATAACGATGATTTGTTATTAAAATAATTTATATCTAGCAGGTATCGATTAAGCACAAATTATTTTCAAAAAAAAGTTTAAATAAAATTAAGTTTATAAGCAAATATGGCTAACAACCACAAAATATAATGTTCACTTTTAATATTTATATTATTAATTTTTAAGCAAACTTAATTTTTGATTATATTGTTAATTTTATATTTCTAATGCCAAAGCGTTTCACACCAATCTTGTTAATATTATATAATATATTTATTGAGATTTGCAGTCGACATTTAATAATACACTAAAACATTACACTTAAAAAACAGTCGTAAAGAATACACAGAACCAGAAGTTTTTGAATGAGAATTGATTTGTAAATAATATTTTAGTTATTTTATACGCTACTAGAAATGTGTGCAAACGGGTAGACTAAACACAAACATATTAAAAATAAAATAAAATATACAATAATTATTAATAAACAACTAATTATTAGTTATTAAGATTTGAATCTCACATGAGATAATACAGAATATTTAAGTAAAGGTAAGTTAATAACTTATATCTGCTAAATTTTATTTTATTATTTTCTTTAAAAATCGTATTAATTGTAAATTTATGAAAAATTACTAGATAAAATCATGTCTATATAAAAATTATATTGGAGATTAAGAAATAACACAGGTGCATTTTATAACACTATTTATCGAATAAAGTAATATGTGTTAGTTTATTTAGTAAAATGCCAACATAAAACTTACAACTAATTTACTACCGGTTCACAGTATTTGAATATAATTAATGAAATAAATATTTTTATAAAATTATATTATAAACAATTTTTAATATTCTTTTAAAATATGGGATTTATTTTGGATTCTTTATTGTGCATATAATTAAGCTCATTACAACCTATACTGTATATTTAAAATATAAATGTTATACGTACTGTACTGGTATATAGTTAGCCATAAATAGCAGTCAATCTTAATAATGCACTAAAAAATCAAATACAAAACACTCGTAAAGAATACATAAAACCAGAAATTGTTTTTGAATGAGAGTGGAGTTTAGGTTTTAATGTTGCAAAACACTACTAGAAATGTGCTATAAAAAAGTCAATTGAGCAGAATCAGTCTATCGTTTTAATTGGATTGCTAACAAACAAAAAATAACAATCATTATCACAAGAGTTTGCGTAGATAAGAGTTTGGCTACTGAATTACAATTACAAAAAACTTGTTTTTGTATTTAATTCACAATCATATTGTTTAAATTGACGGTTCATGAATCTTAGCATTAGGTGTTGAAAATAAAATATTCCTGAGCCTATTATACACTTTTACGGAAAATTATGAAAATTACATTCCCTTAAAAAGTTACCAATAAACCCAATCTACTTCTTCATAAAATTATATAAAGTTGTAATCCAGGTGTATTTAAATATAACTTATTTGCAGAGGGTTTATTGTTTAGTTTATTGAAATGAAAAGCTAAAAACTGTATTTTGTAAACTTTTACATCTGTAAGGTTATTAAATGAAATTATTGAATAAATTCTTAAAATTCATCCATTAGTGTCATACAATAGAAAAAAAATTAATGTATGGCAGTAATATACCGGTGTATTGTAATCAATCTTTAATATGGTTTTTAAATATGACATTTATTTAATATTTGAATACTTGCAAACTTAATATAATTAATTTCAATACAATGCCTAATTATGAATGAAATATAATACAGATTTTGTATTTTACAATACATTGTGTTTTAAAAAACAATATAACATTAAAATTGAGGTAAAAGTTATTTTAATATAAAACTCAATATTCAGTCAAAACTATAAACTCGTGAGCGAATAGTCCGACTGATAATCAGGTGTCATATCAAAGACCTCCTCCAGAAGTGGCGGAATCAATGTCTTCGGCGTGTCTTCAATCATATGTTTTCTCTGAGCATCTCTTAAGACATTTAAATCCATTATTATATTCATTATCCTTAAAAGTCGTGATTTTGCCTCACATTCCGATCGATACTTCAATTGTAAATATCTAAGCAATAAATGCATATAAATGTGTTGTTGGAGTCTATATTGTGTGACAAATAAATATAAAGTTAAATAATTAATGAAAAAAATAAATGTCAAAAGTTTAAGATATAGAAATCAATAAAGAAATAAAAATCAAGTCTCAATAAAACTTATCAATTACTTGATAACATCTCTATTAGCAAGGTTTGGACGGTCCGGATTGAATATAGCTATTGAAGTCATCTACGAAAGTAATTTTATATATTTAATAAAAGTTACCAGGTACAATTAATTAGTAGAATCTCATACTAAATGAATTATATTGCGATCGGTGTCCCAAATGTGTGACATTTTGTGTAGAAAATTGAGAAACGGATGATATAAATAGTCAGCACTCTTAAATATATCAATTTTCATTACAAACGAGTGATCCGGGTCCTATGAAAATGAAACTTTGAATTAATTATTTCACAAATTAAATACAAACTAATTTAAAAACACAAACCAAAGGAATTTTGAACACATTATCCGTGTAATCAAAATACATGATAGACCTCAAGAATATGACATCAAAGCACCCGTACTTCAGTAGTGAGATCTGGTCCTCACAACAGATATTCTTGAATGCCGTCAACTCTTTCATAACTTTTGTCAGATTTCTGATACATGTGTCAAATTTAGTGGTAACAGTTTGGTGATAGTCATAGTCATAGATATTGTCCAGATTTCTGCTATTACTGCTGTACGGACTGCCCAGACATCGGATTGTTGTCATCAATTCATTCATTAAATAAATTTCCTTTTCATTAAAACCAGCGGTACATTGACTTAGAGGTTGTGCGATAGGTATTACCGAAACGGCAAACTCGACGGCCTTTTCGATTGTCTTATTTGACACGTTATAACAAGCAATTTGTTGCACATATGGTGGTGAGGTATTTGGCTTATCAAAGCTATTGTCCACAATATTATCAATGAAATCGTTGGTAACAGTGCTCTCTATATCCCTAATCTGTTCGCTGAGGGCATCGGCGCTGATATTGTTGTCGTCGAGTATTTCGTATAAAATATCATTATTTACGGTTTGATTGGTGTTTGAGATGTGATTTTCATGTGATGTTTCCGGTGATGAGTATATCAATGATTGTGGACTTTCATCGCATGTAATACTAGTATTATTAGCACTATTATGACTATCCCTCCACTTTTTGTTTTCTAATCGCTTGAGTTTTTTCATCTCCCGTTCCTCTTCATTAAGTATCCAGTCCTTGATATTAACAAAACTTGTTTTAATCATTTTAATTGATAATGTTTGCGAGTTAATGCATTTTTATTGTATACCCTTCTCATTCCTATGGCCAGGCACTTGTCTAATCGACACCTTGAGCAAAACTTCCTTGTGATTGAATCAATTTTGCATTTATTATCGAAATGGCATATTAGCTATATGTCAATCAATGTATTAAATTATTAATAAACGTTTAGCAATTCAAATGAAACATTACAGTATTTTTTAAGGCATTCCTACGGAAAAAGGCTTTACATGGCTCACACGATACGGCACCAAAGTTTTTGCCTGTATATTCATATAACAATTATTAAATAGAGTTTTAAAAGGAAATTTTTCAATTAATTAGTGTTTAATAAGTTATATCATACCCATTGCCATATGTCCACAAACACCGCACACTTTCGGAAATACTTGAACACTCATATTATGATATGCCGTAAATTATGGGTATTTTATTCATTAATTCATTAACCGTAACACTAATAATCATAATTTGCATTAAACATACATTAGTAGTGATGTATTTTGACAGGTTTATATGGAAACTCATGTATAATATGCATCGATTACATGTTAATTATATTCAACTATTGTTAAACAATTATAATAAGTTTGGATTATGAATACACTGACGGAAACACAAAAAAATAAAAATATTATTTTCAATTTTCAAACTATTATTCTTATTGATATTTTTAGGCCACGAAAATATATATTTTATATAAAGTACCCAACACGATCGTGTTTCAAAATAAAAATAAATTTCTGTGAATACAACTTAATTATATATTCTCACTGTATATGTTATTACCGTAAATAGCACTCAATCTAAACAATGCACTAAAACCACAATAAAAATACAAAAATAGTCGTAAAGAATACACAAAACCATAAGTTTTGTTTTGAATGAGAGTTTGATTTTTCGGGATTTTAAACACTATTAGAAATGTGTGCAAACAAGTCGACTGTTTGAATGGATGGCTATTAAAACATTACTACATTTGATTATCATTAGTGCCAGAGTTTGCGTATAAGAGTTTAGGTAACGACTTATAATTTCTATATAGAATCGGGGACATATCTAGCAAAACTTGTTTTTTTTATTTTAATCAATGAGCGAATTAATTGTTCAGTTTCAAGGCTAATGGTTTTAGTTATTAAATTTGAAAACATAAATTTAAATCCTTTTTCTTATATCTAATATAATTTATATTCTAATTATTATAAATATAAAATTGCTTTTTTTGTTATAAAATTAAGGAAACTTATTTAAAACCTTTCCTGTATTTAGATTTATTCAAAATTTTTATACGTATTGTTTGAATTTAAACATATTATGAATAATAATGCAATTACATAATCCGGTGATATAATGGGCTCAAAATAACGTGAAATTGTTATAAGTGTTTGAATTTGCAATTATACAATGCACAAAATACAAATAACTATTTTGAAAATTTAGATAAATATTTATTTTTTAATTTAACACAATTGTAATTTTATTGCTGTATGTTTGCAGTATAAAATAAATAATACTTTAGTATTACTTTATAAAAAAAAGTATTATGATATTGATATAAAATCTAAATAAAAATAATATGTGATGTAATCCAAGTGTATGTTTTATGTTACCAATAACAGAGTAAGGTTATCCTGTTTAAATTACTGGTAGTAAATTAACAATAAAAAACACAATTAATAAACTTTAAGAATATTAAATGAAATGAATGTTAACATTATTAATTAAACATACCGGTAATATTAATACAATGTAATATGCAAGAAATTATATTGTAATCAGTTAATAATTGGTTTTAAATTGATGACATTTATTTATAATTTTAAAAATTAAATGACGACAAACATAAAATAATGTTAATTAACTTTAGTATAACGATTATTAAGTTATGAATCAAATATAATATAGTACATGTTTTGCATTTTATAAGCATTGTATAATAAATAATGTTAACATTGAGGTAAACTTTATTTTATAAAATACTGCATTTACAATAATTGATTAATTCATTGATTACTATAAAATAGTGAGCGTGTAGTCTGACTGACATACAGGTGCGATATCAAAGATCTCTTGGAGTAGTGGCGGAATCAATGTCTTCGGCGTGTCTTCCATCGTAACCTTCCTCTGAGCCTCTCTTAAGACATTTAAACCCATGATTACATTCATTAGTCTTAGAAATCTTGACTTTGCTTCACATTCCGATGGATATTTCAATTGTAAATATCTAAGCAATAAATGCATATAAATGTGTTGTTGGAGTCTATATTGTGTGACAAATAAACATAAATTAATGTTAAGAAAAGAATAGATGAATCGATACATTATTAAAAATAATATGACAAAAAAGTTATTAATTACTTGATAACATCTCTATTAGCAAGGTTGGGAATATCCGGATTGAACAAAGTTATTGATGACATCTACAAAAATTATTTACTTCATAATAAGTATAATATAAATTTTACGAATTTGCAAAATTGTAATCTAGTAAACTCTTATACCAAATCTATTATTATGCGATCGGTGTCCCAAATGGGTAATAGTTTATTTAGAAAATTCTTATATGGGTGATAAAAATATTCAATGTTTCTCAAATAATCCAATTTTAATACAATTTGGTTATCCGGGTCCTATCAGAAAAAAATAAATACTGTAAATATTATAACAAATTATAATAAATGCAAACTGATGACACAAACCATTGGAATTTTGATCACATTATCCGTGTAATCAAAACATTTGATAGACCTCAAGAATATGACTTCAAGGCACCCGTACTTCAGTAGTAAGATCTGGTCCTCACAGTAGATATCCCTGAATGTGGACAACCCTTTCACGAATGTTGTTATATTTCTGATACATCTGTCAAATTTGGTTGCGAAAGTCTGATGAAAGTCATACATATTGTCCAGGCCTTTGATGTTACTGCTAAACGGAGTGACCATACATCGGGCAGTTGTTATCAATTCATTCAATAAATAAGTTTCCCTTTCATTGAAACCAGTGTTGCATTCACTTAGAGGTCGCGCGATAGGTATCACTGAAACAGTAAACTCGACGGCCTTTTCAATCGTCTCATTTGACACATTATAACCCGTTTGTGAAGTTATTTCATTACAATTATTATATACACTAATTTGTTGATCATTTATTATGCAATCAAATTTTTTGTCCACAATATTATCAATGAAATCATTTGTAACAGTGCTCTCTATATCCATAATTTGCTCGCTAAGGGCATCGGCACTAATACTGTTGTCATCGAGTATTTCATATAAAATATCATTATTTGTGTTATTATTGGTGTTTGAGATTTGGTTTCCGTGCGATGTTTCCGGTGATGAGTCTATCAATGATTTTGTACTTTCATCGCTAGTATTATTGTATTGATTACTATCCCTCCGTTTTTTGTTCGCTAATATCTTAAGCTTTTTGAGCTCCCGTTCCTCTTCATTCAATATCCAGTCCTTAATCAAACATAACTTGTTATAATTATTTAAATTACTATTTATTTCAATTCATTGAATACCCGTCTCATGCCGATGGCCAGGCATTTGTCTAATCGACACCTTGAGCAAAACTTTCTGGTGATTGAATCAATATTGCATTTATTGTCGAAATGGCATTTTAGCTACAATTTAATTTATTAATCAATTTAATTAATTGCTATAAAATATATATTTTCTATATTACAAATAAAATTACCGTATTTTTTAAGGCATTTCTCCTAAAAAAGGCTTTACAGGGCTCACACGATATGGCACCAAAGTTTTTGCCTTAATATTCATATAATATTAATTTATTTACAAATAAAAATTTTAATAATGAATTTTCATTATACCCATTGCCATATGTCCGCAAACAGCACATACTTTCGGTAATACTTTGTCACTCATAGTATGGTTGACGTTGACATTAAATTATATGTATTTTATTCATTAATAATTATAATTTGCATTAAACACACATTAGCAATTTGTTACAACTGGTTTATATGGAAACTCATGCTTAATATTATATGTTAATTATATTAAAATAAGTTTGGATTATGAATACACTGTGACGAAAACACAAAAATAAAAATAATATTTTCAATTTTCAAACTTATATTTTTATTGATATTTGTAGGCCACGAAAAATATATACTTTATATAAATCGTGTTTCAAAATAAAAATAAATTTCTGTGAATACAACTTTATTATATTTTCTCAAAATCACTGTATATGTTATTACCGTAAATAGCACTCAATCTAAACAATGCACTAAAACCACAATAAAAATACAAAAATAGTCGTAAAGAATACACAAAACCATAAGTTTTGTTTTGAATGAGAGTTTGATTTTTCGGGATTTTAAACACAACTAAAAATGTGTGCAAACAAGTCGACTGTTTCAATGGATGGCTATTAAACATAAATGCATTTGATTATCATTAGCACCAGAGTTTGCGTATAAAAGTTTAGGTAAAGACTTATAATAACTATAGAGAATCGGGGACATATCTAGCAAAACGTGTTTTTTATTTTAATTCATGAACGAATTAATTGTTTGCATTCAAGGTAAATGTTACACGCGATTAAATCTTTAAAAATATACTTTTAATATCTCCTTTCCTACATAATCTTATTTATTATTAAAAAAAGAAATTGTTTTTTTTATAAAATTTTCAAAATAAGGATACTGTACTTACTTAAAACCGTTGTTGTATTTAGATTTATTCATACTTATCATAAAGCTTTCGCCAAAAGGGTGGTAAATGGTTTATTTAGCATTAAAAATCGTTAAATAGAGCTAGAGCAAAATAAGAATTTTGGCAACTATTGTTTTTTGGCACCGATCCATCGGTATCCCCAATTTTATTGTGGCATAAGGGGAACGGTAGATATGCCTGTCCATCAATAGCTCAAAAACTATAAGATGTAGGTAAAATCTGATTTTTGGAAATTGTGCACTGGGTCAATAAGAAAAAAGTAATTTCTGGATTTTGAGAAATTTTGCTTTATTGATTTTTTAAAATTCTTTATTTGTGAAATTTTTGATTTGAAATTCATTAATCTCAGCAACGACGTAATGGATCTGGGTGATCTCCAAGTTGTTAGAATTGTCTTTCAAAATACTAAAAGTTATTTGCTTGCACCGATACTGTATCTTGTGCACAGAATTTTCTAGGTTAAAAATTAATTTTCTCTATGTAATTTGAAAATACAGGTAAAGGTGAATAACAATAAAACAGGTTTAAAATAAATACATAGAGAAAATTAATTTTTTTAACATACACAAAACTTGCGCCAATGTTTTAAAATCAAAAACAATAGTCTACTAGTTCTTAATTTTGTTGAAAACTATTATTTAATTAATTATCAATTAATTATTTGTCTAATTAGGTAGAAATAAATGTAACTATCTTAAATATTTTAGCCAAATTGTAGGCAAATCTAGAATCTAAGGTATGAGTTTTAAGTAATTTCAAAATTTTCAACATTATGGCGCGCGCTTAAGACTTAATTGTTGGGATCAATATATGCATCCATTTGTAGGTCTGTTATCACTGATTATGAATATCATATGAGTTACAGTATTTGATTATCCTTAAAAATATTATAGCACCTGGAGTACATAAAGGTCCAAATTAATTTTTGCAAAAAATATTTAAATTTAGGTGATGAGGTAAACTGTACGACCCCTGCTCGACACATCCATGGTAAACCTGCAGAGATTTTTATATTTATCAATACAGGGCTGACATATATGTGTCGGGAAGGGGTGGTACATAATATCACATTATCTAAATTCAAAAATATTTTCATTTAATTCCCATAGAACCTTTCTACAAACTACAGTACATATCTGTAAAATTTTGGAGGGCTGGCATTTGGACACCATGTATTATTTTTTCATAATTATTTTTCTAAGTTGTAGAGAAAGAGTTATATTTTAATTTGATATATAATTTATCAAGATTATATTTGTAGAAAATTTTTTATAATCGGTTTTTATAACTATTGAGAAAAGAATCGAGAAAAATGTGCTATTTTGAGAAATTATTACATAGAAAATAATGATTACACATTGCAAAAACTAATTTGGACCTTTATGTACTCCAGGTGCTATAATATTTTTAAGGATAATCAAATACTGTAAATCATATGATATTCATAATCAGTGATAACAGACCTACAAATGGACGCATAGATTGATCCCAACAATTAAGTCTTAAGCGCGCGCCATAAAGTTGAAAATGTTGCAATTACTTAAAACTCATACCTTATATGTCATATTTGTGTACTTATTCTTTAATAAATATAAAATACCATAAAATACATAAAATACTGTATAATACGGTATAATACACGTATAATACAATCAAAAAATAAAATACCGTATTTTGACATCCTTAATTTCTATAAACTCGTGAACGAATATTCCGACAGACATACAGGTGTAGTGTGACCAGGTCGAAAACTTGTAACACTTGAAAGATAATGAACAAATTCTTGAAAATTCTTGACCTTAATTTTTATTTAAATTATCCTTTTATAAATAATTTATTATTTTAATCAAGGGACATTTATTATAATCAAATTTTAGTTATTAATTAATAGTTAAATCTTTGCCAAATTTGATTCCTAATTTTTACCTTTCATACAATATTTAATGATAATTGCATGAATAAATAAACTCAACAGTAACGATACTAGTATATTGTTTAGAAATAAAACATTATTAAATCTTAAATATTATTCCAGTAATATAATTATTATAATGGTATTTGAATTTTCCAGTGGAATTTCATAATAAGAATTTTATTTATAACTTATATTTATGGCAAACAATTATTGTAAAATGTACTAAAATTTTTTGTTGACATTCAAGAATTTAACATTGCACTTTATATTTATATTCTGTTTCCAAAGTTTCTGTTTTTTAACCACCATAACATTTAATATTTTATCGTATATATCAATTATGTAAATTCTTGACCTATAATGTCAAGAGTTTACCCTTCTCTTGATTCTTGACCAGACACCCAAATTCTTGAAAGTCAAGACCGAATTCTTGACCCTGGTCACACTATACAGGTGTGATATCTAACACCTCTTCCACAAGTGGCGGAATCATTGACTTCGGCGTGTTTTCCATCGTATTCTTCATCATAGCCTCCTTTAAGACATTTAAATCCATTATTATATTCATTAGTCTTAAGAATCGCGACTTTGCCTCAAATTCCGATCGATACTTGAGTTGTAAATATCTAAGCAATAAATGCATATAAATGTGTTGTTGGAGTCTATATTGTGTGACAAATAAACATAAAGTCAATCAATAGTATTAAGAATTAATGACAATTTTTGGAATTTCAATCGATAATGAAATATTTAAAATGTAAAATAAAGCCTTTTATTAATTACTTGATAACATCTCTATTAGCAAGGTTTGGACGATCCGGATTAAACAAAGTTATTGATGACATCTACAAAAATTATTTGTTTTAAATTAGTATAAGTTCTACTAATATACATAATTTAAATCTAGTAAACTCTTATACCAAGTCTATTATTGTGTGATCGTTGTCCCAAATGGGTAATAGCTTTTGCAAAAACCTCATATATGGGTCATAAACAATTTCAACGTTTTTCAAAAAATCCAATTTTAATACAATAAAATTATCCGGGCCCTATCATGTACAGACAAATACTGTAAATTAGCTTGCACCACAAATGTAATCTAATGACACAAACCATTGGAAGTTTGAAGACATTATCCGTGTAATCAAAAAACTTGATAGACCTCAAGAATATGACATCAAAGCACCCGTACTTCAGTAGTAAGATCTGGTCCTCACAGTCGATATCCCTAAAAGGGGACAACCCTTTCACAAAATTTGTTACATTTCTAATACATGTGTCAAATTTGGTAGCAAAGGTCTGATGAAAGTCATACATATTGTCCAAGTCTTTGCTATTACTGCTAAACGGACTGCTCATACACCGGTCAGTTGTTAGCAATTCATACAATAAATAAGTTTCCCTTTCATTGAAACCAGTGTTGCATTCACTTAGAGGTCGGGCGATAGGTATCACCGAAAAAGAAAATTCGTCGGCTTTTTCTATTGTCTCATTTGACACGTTATAACCCGATTGTGGAGTAATTTGATTGCTATTATTATATACACTAATTTGTTGGTCATTTATTATGTTATCAAAATTTGTTTCCATAATATTATCAATGAAATCGTTGGTAACAGTGCTCTCTATATCCATAATTTGCTCGCTAAGGGCACTAATGTTGTTGTCATCGAGTATTTCGCATAAAATATCATTATTTGTGTTATTATTGGTGTTTGAAATGTGGTTTCCGTGCGATGTTTCCGGTGATGAGTCTATCAATGATTTTGTACTTTCATCGCTAGTATTATTGTATTGATTACTATCCCTCTGTTTTTTATTCACTAATATCTTAAGATTTTTTAGCTCCCGCTCCTCTTCATTCAATATACAGTCCTTAATCAAATAAAACTTGTTTTATTTATTTAAATTACTATTTATTTCAATTCATTGAATACCCGTCTCATGCCGATGGCCAGGCATTTATCTAATCGACACTTTGAGCAAAACTTTCTGGTGATTGAATCAATATTGCATTTATTGTCGAAATGGCATTTTAGCTACAATTTAATTTATCCATTAATTTAATAAATTTCTATTGAATATATATTTTATACAATACAAATGAACTTACAGTATTTTTTAAGGCATTCCTCCTAAAAAAGGCTCTACATGGTTCACACGATACGGCACCAAAATTTTTGCCTTTATATTTATGCAGTATTAATTTATTAACAAGTAAAAATGAGAATGTTGAATTTTAAAATTAATTATTGTTTAATAAGTTATA